CTTTGTCAGGGGAAGGTTTGGTGCAATGGCTTTTGCTGAAAACAATTGCTGTCTTCTTCCAGGCGCTGGGAGGAAGAGACTAGCTCCTAGTTTCGCTGTCTTCACTTCTCTGCCTGTCAGATAACAATGCAAATAACAGCACCTGCCTCTTGGATGCGGGGGAGGAGTGTGTGAAATAACAATCCTCAATTTAGTGAACTTGAAGTTAGGAGGGGGAGGTTGCCTTCGAGAACTTCTGTCTTGCAGCCCTGCCCCATGGCATGCGTCTGTCCCCCGCTGTGGATCCTCCTCTGCCTGTGTCCAGTGCTTTGCCCCTCTGGCCCTCCTTTCTCCATTTTGTCCTCAATTCAGTGCCACCCTTTCCAGATGGTTTTTTATTTTTGAGTGCCTTACACCCCACTTCTGAGCCTCTTCAGTCCCTGCTTCTTCTCAAGCTCATAGCCCTGGTGGTTCTGGCTCTCACCGATGCTGCCTGGATCTGTGACTCTGTGGGCTGTAAACTTCCCCCAGCAGGCCCAAGTCTGGGTCTACCAGGGTCTCCAGAGTTTGAGCTGAGTTAGAATCTGGTAGGGAAGGTGGGAGTCAGCTCAAGGATGGGGAGATACACATCTCTGAGCTGTCGGTGTCTCTGTCCAGGAGACAGAGGCCACTCAGCCTCTTCCTTGGTGGGGGTGAAAGCAGTAAACATGGAGTGTGTACAAAAATAGCAGTTGGGGGTCAGAGAGTTAGTATAGGGGTCAAGGATCTTGCTGAGGCCGGGCTCCGTTCCATCCTGGAGCACAGGGCCATGAGTAAGCCCTGAGCACCACTAGATGTGGCCCCAAAACTAAAGAAGTGTGTTCTGGAATTGTTCAGATATGGACTAAGTCAGGACTTGCTTCCCTGGAGCTGAGCTGGTGCACATTAGGGGACACTGAAACATAACTCTGTGACAATCCATGTGGGGCCTCCGGTTTGACCAGGGTGACCTTCTCTGTGCTTTTGTTTCCTCATCTTCTGTGGGGGTAGTGACCCCACTTCATAGGGCTTGTGGGTACCACTGAATATCTAGGAAGTAGGTTCTCACTCCCAGCACTGACCCATCTGACAGAGCTGAATGGATCTAGCATCGGTCCCGAGGCTAAGTCACAGGCAGAGGAAGCACTGCCCTCCATCTCAGAGAGATTGGGACTGCTTCCAGGGGAGCCTTTTGGCCAGGAAAATGAACTTGCTTTTTTTCCCTAAGAATCATGGGAAGCTGGTGAAAGAGTTTAAGTCTATAAGTGACAAGGTCAGTTGCTGTATTAAGAGGTTTGGTCTAGAGGAAATGATGCTTCTAGTATTCTCCCTTACAGAAGTAAAACGGTCACTGATTCAAAACAAAAAATTCTCCCTTACAAAAACTACTGAGAGGCTGGATGGATTTCCACAGAGCCCTTTAAAAGACATTCTTGATGATTGCACTCATTTGCAGGATATGAAAAAGCAGAGTATGAGAATAATACCCAGAGACAGTACAGACAAGCGCCAAGAAGACTGGTGCATGGTAGGAAGCTTGCCACAAGTTGGGGGGAGTGCAGTTAGGACAGAGAAGGGACCACTGTGACACTGAAGATCGCTCTGGACAAGAACTAAGTGCTGAAGTAGGTAAAGGGATATACAAGATAACCTTTCAGCAACAATATTGCAAACCACAGTGCCAGAAAGGAATATAGGAAAGAGAGAGGGAGAGAGAGAGAGAGAGAGAGAGAGAGAGAGAGAGAGAGAGCGATGAAAGAGGGAAACTGGGAACATTGGTGGCAGGAAACATACACTGGTGGAGGGATGGGTATTGGAAAACTGTATGGCTGAAACTCAATCATGAACAACTTTGTAACGGTGTATCTCAAGTGATCCCATTTTTTTTTAAAAAAAGGCTTTTTTGAGCTGAGCAATAGTAAGCAGGTAGGATGTTTGCCTTGATGTGGTTGACCTGGGTTCAATCCCTGGCAACCCATATGCCCGCCCACTCTGTGCCAAGGCTGATCCCTGGGCACAGACCTGGAGTAAGCCCTGAGCACCGCCAGGTATGTCTGTCTCTCCTCCCCAGATTCCCCGCCCCCCACCACACACACACACACACACACACACACACACACAGAGAGAAAAGACATTCTTGAGTCCCATAGAAACAGCAGAAATGTCAAGTCTGGAAGCAGGCAGGGAAACAAGCCCCAGGAACCTTGGGTGTTTCCAGATTCCCAAACCTGGCATCGGGTTTCAATAATTTCCTCAGTGATGGAGTACAAAATCTCCACTGTACAGCACCACGTGAAGAGATGGAAACTAGCCCCTTGCCACCACAGGCTTCTAGGTCTTTTGACGGGTTACTTTCTTAGTGAATGGGGGCTGTGGCCCATGGGGAAGATCAGCCTCCAACATGAGACAAACGGCTCTTGAAAAAATAATAAATATTGGCACATCTTCATACAGATTCTGAGTTTGATTTTTTGGTTTGTTTTTTGGGCCATACCCAGTGTTGCTCAGGGCTTACTCCTGGCTCTGTACTCAGGAATTACTTTTGGCGGTGCTCAGGGGACCATATGAGATGCCACGATTAAACCTGGCTTAGCCACATGTAAGGCAAATGCCCTAACCACTATCTTTCTGGGCCCTGATTTTTGTTTGTTTTTGTGCCACAGCTGGCACTGTTCAGGGCTTACTCCTGGCTCTGTACACAGGGATCACTCTGGGTCGGCTACTTGCAAGGCAAGTGCTTACTTGCTATTCTCTCTCTCTCTCTCTCTCTCTCTCTCTCTCTCTCTCTCTCTCTCTCTCTCTCACACAATTCTGAATTTGAATCCACAAAACTTTTGTAGTACTGTAAATACCAAACTTAGAAAAAAATGGTAATGTAAGTAGTCTTAGGGTAACAGTGCCACCAAAGAATCTGACCAAAATAAATGAAATTTTTCTCTGGAGGAAAAAATTCCCACCCCCAGTTCCCTTTGGGGTCAGTCAATAGGAGTTTATAGGAAAACTATAACATGAACACCAGGAAAAAGATCCCTGTGGATGATGGACAGCTGAGGCAAGGGAGAGCAAAATCAGTTTCTGCAAGAGTCAATGATGATATGAACTGTGAGAACTATAAGGCTAGAGATTATGTTTAAATGTATAAAAAAATCAAAGATGAATCTCAGTAAAGCAAGAAACAAAACACTGCCTCAAATGACCTAGTAAATTTGAAAAGAACCAAATGTCATTTTTTGGAAATGAAGCAAATAATTAAAAAAAACCTCTGTAGACAGGATAAGTAGCAAATCAGATAGATCTAAAGAGAGTAGGGGGGGCTGGAGTGATAGTACAGCAGGGAGGGCACTTGCCTTGCATGTGGCAGACCCGGATTTGATCTCCAGCTCCCCATATGGTCCCACGAAACAGCCTGGAGTGATTCCTAAGAGCGAAGCCAGCAGTCAGTTCTGATTACCACCAGGTATGGCCCAAAAACAAAACAAAAAATAAAATAAAGACTATTAAAGATCTACAGAAATTATAAGATCTGATCGAATCAGAGAGATGGCAAAGAAGAGAGTGAAGAAATGTGAAGTACGGAAGGAGAGAGAGAGGGTTGGGAGGTGAGAGGGGTAAGGTGAATGCCTCCATTGGACATATGTGAAGATGATAACCTAGGGCTGGAGAGATGATACAGGGGCTAAGGCACTTGCCATGCACACAACTGGCCCGGATTCAGTCTCCACACTGCCAGAAGTGATCCCTGAGCACCAGCAGTGAGCCACCCTCCCCTCAATAAAGATGATGGCCTGGAGAGCACTGGGTTCATCGCTGTATGTAGAGGAGGTAGAAATGATAAGATCTAATGATAGACTAGAAAATGATGTGGCAAGTTTATCAGATTTCTGCGTTCAGAAAATGGGTGTCACTTATGAAGGTGGCAAAAGAGTAGGATTGAATTGTTTGAGATTTGGGGGAAATGAAAAGTTCACTTAGGAATAGACCGTGGTTCATTTGGCTTGGGAAGATCTGCTGATGTTCTCAGTGTCACTGAGAATGTGGAGCAGGTGCCTTGGTGGAAAGGGACTTGGCATTTGGAGAAAAGATCCGCTTTCAGAGAGATCATAGGCCCTTTTAAGGAAACCTTCTTTCACTCGGGAGAGGTGGCCTGGGAAGAGACATTCTCAAGACGTCTCAGATGGGGCTTGTGAGGTGGCCATTTCGTTCTTTCTTTTATCAGATGGAGAAGTTGAGACACAGAAAGGTCAGGGGTTTGCGCTCCTGCATTAGAATCCATGTATTCGATTGTTCATCCACTCATTGGCTCAGCAGAAGGGGAACAAAAGCCCACTGTGCAACAGACAGTGTTGGGGATTAAACATGGATAATGCAAAGACCCCCTGCCTTCAGGAAGCTTACCCATGAATGGAGGGGAATGGCAAATTACCGCAAAAGGAAGTCAAGTGAAGCTTGTTTGGCGACCAAAACTCCTCAGAAGCTACAGGACTGGAGAGGCCTGATGTGCGGGAAAAGCCACTAGGGACATAATTCTGGACATGAGTGGCCCCATGCAGCTCTTCCAGGCTGGTTCCCCCCCATTGTGACAGTGTCTTGGGGTTCTAGAGTGTGGGCGGGAGGGGGGATAGGGGGAGGGAAGGAAAAGGCCTGAAGAAGGAGGAGGAAGAGAGGGATTAAGTGGGATTAGTGGGTGGGCTGTGCCCCCCAAGGGGGCAGCAAAGCCCCATGGGCCAGAAGAGCCACAAAGACTCCCTTTACTCTTGTGGCAGGTAACTCCCCTGTCCCGGGCCCCTCCTCAAACTCCGTCACCGGCATTCGGATGATACCTGCCCCGGCTTCAGGAACCCAGGAATGGATCCAGGGGGTCTCGCATCTCAGCAGGGAGCGAACAACCTGATCTGGCTGGGGACAGGCATCCGAGGCCCCCAGGAGGCTAGTGGGGCCTGTGAGGCTTGTTTTGACCAGAGGAGGGCGGGGACTCGGGTCACTGCCAGTGTCTCTCCCCTCAGGACGCCTGTGAGCAACCTCCACGAGGCCCTGGACCAGTGCATGATCGCCCTGGACCTCTTCCTCACCAACCAGTTCTCAGAAGCACTCTGCTACCTCAAGCCCAGGTGAGGCTTTGCCCAGCTGGGGTAGGGGTGTGTGTAGAGATGGGGGTGGGGAACGGGGTTGTCCGGCCATGGAGAACTAGAAGTCTTGTGTGAGAGGCGCCCCATGTACCATGATGCAGAAAGTGTCATAAAATAGCTCAGTGTCCCCCTCTTCAGCCCAGGCCCCCCTCAGCCCAGGGTGACTGACTTAGGTTCTTGGGCTTCTTCTGTTTCCTTGTCTTATCCCATTATGTCAACTAGAGGCTTCTCCCCATCCGCTCAAAAGCCACCCCACTCCTCTTTTTCTTTTCTTCACAGAAATAAAGCCTCAAGGCTTGTAATAATGGTGTGTCATTGAGCTACTTCTTCCAGTGTTCTCTGCCGTATTTGTCAATGCAGAGTCCATTCTACTCCTGTTTTACTAACCACATTTTTCAGATTAAAGATAATTGAGATATAATTTGTGTACCATAAAAATTCAAGATTTTCATTTTTAATCATCATCTGTTGGTAGAAGATTTTATTTTCCTTTTTATAAAATTTTGTTTTGGGGCCACATCTGGTTTTGCTCAGGGCTTTCTCCTGGCTCTGTGATTAGGGAACACTCTTGTCAGTGCTCAGGGCATAATATATGGTACCAGGGTTTGAACTGGTGTTGGCCACGTGCAAGGCAAACATTCCTTACCTCTGTGTTATCTCTCTAGCCCTAGGAATTTAACTTTTTTATGCCCCCTGCCCCACCTACATCCTCCTCTTATCATTATATTCACAATATTTGTCTGTATCGGTTATCAGTGTTTGCATTATTATGACTCTAATTAGCACTTATTGAAGAGACAAGTCATACCAAGTAAGATTTTGTTTCCGTTCTGGAGTTAATAATTGTTTTCTCATTTGCCTAATTTGCTTTCCATGGATCCTGAACTTCTTGTCGCTATCCCATCAGATCATGAGATCAGAGATTTAACCTAATACTCAGGCTTGTTTGACTACTGCTCAGAGTCCTGGCCCGGAAGCCTGTTGCTCATCGGACAGAGTGTCATTGGCTGTCCCCAGAGGTCCCCTGGGGTGGGGGCTCCCTTTGCTTGTCCTTCCCGCAGCCAGCGTTTCGTCTCTTCCCAATGTTGCATGAGTATAATTTTTTTCCCTGGGAATTTTGATGCCATCACACCCCTTTTGTAGCATCTACTGTAGTCCTAATTCATATTTTACAAGTGATCTTTTTTCCCCCCTTCTCTAGAAGTGTTTGGAGTTTTTGCTTTTATTCCTGCAAGTTTGAAATTTCACAATGATATGCTGAGATATAAGTGTTTTCCATTGGGTCTGTTTTATTTGAGATTACTTTCAGTTCAAATTCTTGGGCGTGATCTTGTTCATTGCCCTTTCTTGGACTTATTTTAAAGCTGATTGTGGAGGTTCTGGATCAGCCTTCGGCAGTGACCTAAGTCCCTTCTACCCTTTTATGTGTTTCTCGTTTTGGGTTTCTGGAACTCATAGTCTCACGTGCACAGCGAGTGCTGTCTGCTGAGCCGCACCCCCACCTCCACACTTTTCCTTTTTTCCCTCTGAATTTTTTTTTTTGGAAACTCTTCAACCTTATTAAATTCTTGTATTGATTTTTTGAATCCCTGTGCTTGTGTGATTGATTTTCTTGTACCAATCATTGTTCTCATGTTCCTTTTGTTCTCGGTTTATGGGTGCAATACACTCTGTATTTGGAATGTGAGGCTTTTAGGACAGGGCCTGGCATAGTAGTTAAGTCTGTGCTTACGTATTTATTGCTGTCATTAGCTGCAGCATTTCATTTTGTCAAAATGTTTTTTATTATTTTTACTGCATAATCTCAGGTTTCTCCAGGTTCCTTCTTTGCATTTAGTGAAGGGGGGATTCTCTCCCAGAGGAGGGGGGCGGTTCTCAAGCATCTGACCTCAGTGTGTGATCACGCATCAGAGCTAGTTTACTCTACGCTCCACAAAAGTCTGGGCCACAGTCTTGAAATTGGCACCAGCTTTGGCTCATCTGGATGAACGCTGGCCCGAGCCAGCTTCCTTGACCACACCCTTTCATTCCTGGGAGCGGGGAGGGAAGGAGTCAGAGAACTGCTGCCTGAATTGTGGGATTGGAGTGTGGGGGGGGGGGGCAGGGTTCTAATCTTGCCTGCGCTTGCTCTGACCTGTGGTTTGCCCTGGACCAGGCCCCCAGGTTTCACCTGTACCCTTTTCTAGATTTGACTAGGCACCCTCCCCCTCCTCTCCCTCCTCCCCATCCCCGCTTACCACCCCACCTCTGGCAGGGCAATTTCTTTTGCTCTTTTTCCTTTAGGGTGTTGTGGTTTGCAATAGAAGTAGTGAGTGGCCATCATGTTCGGTCTATAGCCTACTTTCAGTACGCATCTCGCATCCTGAGTGAGTCCTCCAAACACCCTTTACTTGGTTTTCCCTTCTATATCTGAGCTGCCTTTTCCCCCAGTATGTGCTGCTGGCTTCCAAGCCGTAGAGCAGACCTCCTGGTACTTATCCCAACTATTTTTGGGTGTTCATCTCCCATTCTGCTACTTTATATTCCCCAGATGAGTGCAATCTTTCTATGTCTGTCCCTCTCTTTCTGACTCATTTCACTTAGCATGATACTTTCCATGTAGAATCACTTGTTCGCAAATTTCATGACTTCATCATTTCTAACAGCTGCGTAGTACTCCATTATGTAGATGTACCAAAGTTTCTTTAACCAGTCATCTGTTCTTGGGCGCTCGAATTTTTTCCAGATTTTGGGCTATTGTGAACAATGCAGCAATGAACATACAAGTGCAGATGTCATTTTGACTATACTTTTTTGCCTCTCCGGGATATATTCCTAGGAGTAGTATTGCTGGGTCAAATGGGAGCTCAATTTCTGATTTTTTGAGAATCGTCCATACTTTTTTTCCAAAAGGGCTGAACCAGTCGGCATTCCCACCAGCAGTGAAGGAGAGTCCCTTTCTCCCCACATCTGCGCCAACACCGGTTTCTTTAGTTCTTTTGGATGTGGGCCATTCTCTGGTGTGAGATGATACCTCATTGTTGTTTTGATCTGCATCTCCCTGACGATTAGTGATGTAAAGCATTTTCTCATGAGCCTTTTTGCCATTTCGATTTCTTCTTTGACAACGTTTCTGTTCATTTCATCACCCCATTTTTTGATGGGGTTGGACGTTTTCTTCTTGTGGAGTTCAATCAGTGCTTTGTATATCCTTAATATCAACCCCTTATCGGATGGGTATTGGGTGAGTAACCTTTCCCATTCTGTTGATTGTCTTTGTATTTTGGTCACGTATCTTTTGCAGTGCAGAAGCTTCTTAGTTTAATATAGTCTCCTTTATTTAACTCTGTTTCCACTTGGTTGGTCAGTGGCATGTCGTCTTTGAAGATACCGTTAGCCTCAATATCCTGGAGAGTTTTGCCGACCTTGTCTTCAGTGTACCTTATGGATTCTGGTCTGATGTTGAGGTCTTTAATCCATTTTGATCTGACTTTTGTGCATGGTGTTAAGTCGAGGTCTAAACCCATTTTTTTGCATGTGGTTGTCCAGTTATGCCAGCACCATTTGTTATTCCTTCTCCTCCCCCTCCTCCTCCCTCTTCTCCCCTTCCTCCTCTCCCTCTTCTTCCTCCTTTCCCTCCTCCTCCCTTCCTCCTCCTATCCTTCCTTCTTTTCCTTTCTCCTCTTCCTTCTCCTCCCCCTCCTCCTCCCCCTCCTCGTCCCTCTTCTCCCCTTCCTCCCCTTCCTCCTCTCCCTCTTCTTCCTCCTTTCCCTCCTCCTCCACCTCTCCTCCTCCTCCCCTTCTTTCCTCTTCTTTCTCCTCCCCTCCTCCCTCTCCTCCTCCTCCTCCTCCTCCTCCTCCTCCTCCTCCTCCTCTTCCTCCTCCTTCTCCTTCTCCCCCTTTCCCTCCTCCTCCAGCAGTAGCAGGGCTGACCCAGCAGGAGGTCCAGGGCCTGAGGATCCTGAGGAATCTCTGCAAAGTCCCTTGTGCCTAAGTCCCTTGTGCTGCCACCCACACACCCAGCCCCACCCAGTGGGACAGGAGCAGGGACAGGCCTGGCAAAGCAAGAGAGCAGTCAGTCACGAGAGGCCAGTCCTCTACGCTCCCCTGTGCAGAACGCCTTCGGCCTGCCTGCTGCCTGCTGGTCACTGCCTATCCCTCGGGTGCCCCTGCTCCCCGCAGTCCCTTCTCCTGGTGTGGCCCCTCTCTCTGGGAGGGCCGGTGGGAAAGACACTGCTTTCCTGAGGGAGACAGGGCTTTCCAGCACAGCCTCAGACCTGGGAGTGGGACAAGATCTTCCCGCCTTTTGGAGTTTGAGCGCTTCCCCCCAACAGCAGCTGCCACACACCCCACCGTAGCCAACCCCACCCCTCATGCCAACCAAAGGTTGTTTCCAGAAATGGCCATGCGTCCTGCTGCTGGTAAAAATTCCTCTCTAGCTCCTTTGAGAAATACTGTTCCAGAGGACCTTGAGAGCAGGCTCGGGGAGATTCTCCAAGGCCTTGGCTTCGCATGCAAAGGGTGCAGGGTCAATCCCTGGCACGGTCTGGGGCGGTTGATCCCTGACATGGTCTCCCTGGCACTGAGTGGGCTCCTGAGCATTGCTGGGTGTAGCCTAAAGACAAAACCAAAACTCACACCAGCCTCCTCTGCATTTCCTGTACCACAGTGGGGTCCAGTTCCTTCTCCTGGTCTAGTGTGCCCTTTACCCCCTTACGCATCAGCAGCATCTCATCGCAGCGAGAGCCCTTAACATCATCCCTAATGGCGCTTGAGCCCCCTTTGTCATTTCTTGGAATGACAGTTCTCCTCTGCTGCACCTGCCCCAGAACGTTGTCTGGCTGTGGTAACTACAACATCCGTTTTTCCTGATGGAGAATGGCCACAGTTGGTAAGTGGCAGAGCCAGGACACAGCCCCAGGCCCAGCGCTGCCTCCTGCACCAGCAGAGTCCCCGAGCAGGTGGAGGAGTTGGCTCTGAAGGAGCAGCCCATCACTCTCACCTCTTGTGCCAGGAGAGGCACCAGAGATGGTGGGGGGTGGGTGCATGGCGCCAGGTGCAGGGTCTGCTTCCTGCTGGGAGGGGCAAGTCCCTGCTTAGAGGGAGAGACAGACCAGCTGGTATTTGGGGCCTTGAGAAGAGGGGAGAAGCTTCTGAGTGATGAGGGGCCTGGCCAGCTGGGTTTGTGCTGTGCAGGGGGTTGGGGGGGCCTCCTCCGGTCTGCTTCTGGCCATGTGGAGAAAGTAGCAGCTGCTGGCACCTGGACTGGGGAGTCCTACCTGGGGCAGCAGGACGTTGGAAGGCTCAGCAATGAGTATTCTGACAAGAAAGTGGCTGATACAGGTCAGGAAGAGAAAGCAGGTGGGGGGGGGGGGCGGGGGCAATCGGGCGTGTGTGTGTTGAATGAAGAGGGGCAGGGAGGTGAGAGGCTGTGGCTGGGAGGGTGGGCAGATGCAGAGCCATCCTGTGGGGTCAAGGTGTGAGCCTCCGGATTAGACGGGGGCAGTGGGGGTTCATCCCTGACTGTTCTTGGGGTTCTACAGGAAAACTGTAAAACAAACAATGGGGGGCGCTGGGAATTATGCCCCAAGGCTAGTCAGGGAGAATCTGTCCAAGAAAGCTTTAATGTGGGGCTGGAGCGATAGTACAGTGGGTAGGGCATTTGCCTTGCACGTGGCCGACCCAGGTTCAATTCCCAGCATCCCATATGGTCACCTGAGCACTGCCAGGAGTAATTCCTGAGTGCAGAGGCAGAAATAACCCCTGTGCATCGCTGGGTGTGACAAGGAAAGGAAAGGAAAGGAAAGGAAAGGAAAGGAAAGGAAAGGAAAGGAAAGGAAAGGAAAGGAAAGGAAAGGAAAGGAAAAAGGAAAGGAAACAGGAAGCTTTAGGACTGGTCACAGCTTCTGGGACCCATTGCAAAGTGAAATCGTGTGAAACTGTGGGGTCCTTTGATAAAAGTTGTTAAGAACTCAAAACTTCAGAACCTTAAAGCCCAGCATGGGGCTGTCCAAGACTGGGGCCCCATGAAACTCTGTAACTGCACAGATCACTGACCTGTAAAGCCAGCCCTGAGGGCTTCCTGGAGGAAGTGGCATTTATGCTGAGAAAGGCTGGATAAGGAGTCAGCCACATAGAGAGGACACTTTCAGGCAGAGGAAAGAAACTGTAAAGACCTGGGGTAGATGAAGGTCCAGGGTATTTGAGGAACTGAGACACTTGGCCTGACTGGCATGGGGAGAAGGGTGGGTCCAGCAGGTGGTGGGTGATGGAAAGACGCCCCCAGATATGACTGGGGTGTACTGCAGACCAGTGGGAGTTTTTGTGGTGAGAAAGCACGCTTGGAAGCTTCTAGTAGAGCAACCTCTCCCGAAGGGTCCTTGGCGGTTTCCAGATAGAAGCAGTGGGAGGCAGAGACTCCGATGAGGCAAATAAGCTGAGAGGTAGTTGACAAGCCTCTGTGACTAGGCAGGCGGTACAGGTCTGTGGACTTAGCTGACCTCCAGGTGGCCCAGAGTGCCCAGCGCTCCCCCCACCCCCGCTCTTGACTGCTCTGCCAGGCCCTCCCCAGCTGTCCAGCTGTCCGGCTGCTTGGGCGCAGGTGGGGGCCCCATGAGCATCAGAACCCAGGGCTGGGCCCCAGGTCTGAATGCTCTGTGCAAGAGAGAGTTCTGTGGGCTAGAAATGAGACAGGGGGCCCTGAAACCTGGGGTTGTCAAACCTCCATACCCCAGTGTCCAGGGCAGACCCCAGTTGGAGGGCCTCCAGGTGTGCTGGGTAGACGGAGGCCAGATTCTAGCCACACATGCAGGCGACGCCTGGGGCCCCAGACTAGAAAATCCACTTTGGTTGCCAGCTGCCCGGGCAGCACCGCCCCACCCCGGGTGCAGGTGGGACTGCTGGGTGCTGTAGGGCCCCGGATGACAGGGACGGGGGAGAGGCAGGACTGAGCACTGGGAGGAGAGGGACTAGGGGAAAGGATTATCTGGGGTCCGTGGAGGTCTGGGTACTGCCAGAAAACCCCTCCTCTTGGAGACAGTGTGTTTATTTTTGAGATTCTGTGGCTTACAGTGATATTAATAATGGTTTCTCACGCACATATTTCCAACACCACATGCATCACCCACGTGCCCCCTCATTCTCCCAGGATCCCAGCGCGTTCCTTCCTCTCCGCCAGCCCCACTGCCCACTCAGTTCTCCCACTACGGTGCCTTTGGCCCTTGCTGTGTATCTGTGCCCCTAGGGGAGGCCATTCTGCAGCTGTCCCTCTTCTGCTGACTGGCTTCATGCTGTTCCTAGGAGATGGTGTTTTGGCACGGCAGGAGTGGAGGAGGGAGTCACACTCAGGAGCTTGGGTGATGGCATCCCAGGTGGGTGTCCCCTGGCCTCTATTTTCCTAGAGAGGGGCGACTGTAGCCATGTCCCTGAGACTGAGTGGGGCTGCAGGATCGTCCAGATGAGACAGTTCCAAATGGGCAGCCCCACACTACTCCGGGCATTCGGAAGCTTGAGTGCTGTCATCACTGGAGGCGGCCACCTCGTTCCCAGAAGCCACTGCCCTCAGATCAAACAATCCCTGCCAGGACCTGGGAGGTGTCCTGATGGCGTCTGGGGCTTGTGAGGGGTGGACCAGTCTTTGACTTCCTTCTAAGACCTTTGACCCCCCAGACATGGTATCACTAAAATGGGGTACCCTGAGGGAAGAGAGCAGCTTAATTGACAGTTATCTTTTGAATGAGAAAGGCAGGAAAAGCTGCATGATTTTACAGTAAACCGGCCTCTAAACCTTAGTCAGCCCTTCCCCCTGACATCCTCCCAGCAAGGCCTGGCTCAGAGCAGCTGGTGAATAGTTTACGTGGGAGTCTGTGTAGGAAGGAGAAGAAACTGCTTCTCCGGGCGCGCCCAGGTGAGGGCCGGCTGCGGGCAGGTGCGTCTCCAAGGCTCCAACACAGACTTCCCCAAGTGGAGGAAGGACCTGGCCTTGTTCTGTCCCGCTGCATCCCTGCTGCTTCTCTTACAGAAGTTCTTCCACCCACCCCCATCCCTGAGAGCCCTGAGAGGATCTCTGCTGAGGAGCCAGAAGCAGGAGGGGAGGCAGGCTGAGGCCAGGGCCTGGGCCCCATGACCTGATGGGTGCTGAGGCTGAGGAGCAGACACCAGCTGTCCCCGGGGTGCAGGAGTCTGGGGAAGAGGGAAGAGTCCTCTGAGAAAGGCGCAGCCTTGCCTGTTGACACACTCCCTGGGTTCCCAGTGGATTCTGTAGGTTTTGGGGGGACCTTGATAGATGGGCCATAGCAAGCAGGGTTTGGGGAAGGCATTTCAAACAGGGACTGTGGGGTTTTCTTTCTTTTTTAGAAATTTTTTAAATTTTTTTTTATTGAATCATATGAGATAGAGTTACAAAGCTTTCATGATTGAGTTTCAGTCATACAATGATCGAACACTCATCCCTTCACCAGTGTGCATTTCCCACCACCAGTGTCCCCAGTATCTCTCCCACCACCCCTGCTCCACCCTACCCCCTGCCTCTCTGGCAAAAAATTTCCTTTTCACTCTCTCTCTATTTTGGGGCATTATGGTTTGCAATACAGATACTGAGAAGCCATCATGTTTGGTCCTATATCTACTTTCAGCACACATCTCCCATCCTAAGCCATCCCTCCAACCATCATTGGCTTAGTGACCCTTTCTGTATCCCAGCTGTCTTCTCCCCAGCTCATGAAGCAGGCTTCTAACCATGGAGAAATCTTTCTGGCCCTTTTCTCTACTGCTTTTGGGTGTTAGTCTCATGTTGTTATTTTATATTACACAAATGAGTGCAACCATTCTATGTCTGTTCTCTCTCTTTCGGACTTATTTCACTTAGCATGATACTCTCCATGTCTATCCACTTAAGAGCAAATTTCATGACTTCATCTTTCCTAACAGCTGCATAGTATTCCATTTGTGTAGATGTACCATAGTTTCTCCAACCAGTCATCTGGTCTCAGGCACTCAGGTTGTTTCCAGATTTTGGCTATTGTGAACAGTACTGCAATGAACATAAGACGCAAATGTCATTTCTACTGTGCTTTTTTGCGCCCCTGGATATATTTCCAGAAGTGGTATTGCAGGGTCATATGGAAGCTCAATTTCTAGTTTTTTAAGGAAAGCCCATATTATTTTCCAGAAGGGCTGGACCAGTTGGTACTCCCACCAACAATGACAGAGAGTCTGTGGGGTTTTCTTGAGGGGAGTTCAGCAGACCCCTGGTGCAGTCTTGGGGCAGAGGGAATCATGGGCAGCAGGGGCAAAGGGCGGGACTGCAGAGCTGAGCAGAACTGCTGGAACGTGGAGGACCTAAGGAGGGAGTGATGTGAGCAGAACGCAGGGTGGGAGAGGTGGCAGGTGGCGAGGTCGGCATTGAGGTAACCAGTTTGGGACAAGGCTGAGGTGAGGCATAAGTTTTGGAGGGATCCCAGGACAGGGCAGGCTCAGCTGTAGCTGACGGAGGTGAGAAGCCTCAGACGAGCCAGCACAGGGCAAGCAGCCTCAGGACGAGGAGGCCAGGCCGTCCTGCCAGCTTCCTAGGAAAACTCCTGAGGAAAACTGGGATAAACTCAGTTTACACACACACACACACACACACACACACACACACACACACACACACACCACACACACACACACACACACACGATGGGCCAGCCGCCTCTCAGGGCCTAGAAGTTGGTGCTCTTGTGTCCCTTCTCTCTGGCAGAACCAAGGAGAGCATGTACCACTCGCTGACGTATGCCACTATCCTGGAGATGAAGGCCATGATGACCTTTGACCCTCAGGACATCCTGCTGGCTGGCAACATGATGAAGGAGGCACAGTCGTTGTGTCAGAGGTCAGGGCTTCAGGCGGGTAGGGGTGATGGTTGAGGGGTAGTGAGGCTCCCGGGCCGGTCTCAGTGATGGGAATGCCACCATTAGAGCTGCCCACTGGCCTCAGAGGACATGTCTCCCAGGGCTGGGAGCTGGTCCTATCCACCGAGCTGCCACAAGCTGCATTTTCTGAGCCCAAGTTCCTGTTTGGCTTCTGGTTGCTTTGAAACTCTTGATCTCAGACAAGTCTCCCTCCGGACTCGACTTTACTCATGTGTAAAATGGGGCTGATGGTCGAGTTGTCAGAGGGACGGAGGTCCACCCGGGTCACAGGATATGCTGTGCTACTGGCGTCCAATCATGGTTAACTGTGTGAACAAATGAACGAGTCCCTGATCATCCCTGCTCAGTGGCGATGGCCATCACTGGGCATGTTCTCGTGCCTGTCCTAGACCAGGCCTTGTGTTGGGTTCTGGCCCCTTCAACCACTGCCTCTATGGGAGAAAACACAGAGACCCTGAGTCCCTGGGCTGTGAAGGATGCAGGAAGCATGGCAGCGGGTGTGTGCTGGGTCCTGCCAGAGGAGTGGGAAGGGCTCCCTGGAAGAGGCGATGCAAGAGCTGGGTCCTGCGGGAGGAGGAGCCGAAAGCATAGCCAGCAGAGGGCGTGAGAGGCCCTAATTCAGGGAACTGGGGCCGGATGGGCCTCTTATGAGAAGGACAAAAGGTGTGGCTGACCCACTTGGGTACCCCCCCACCAAATGAGGCCCTACCCCTTCAGGCACCGGAAGAAGTCCTCAGTCTCGGATTCCTTCAGCAACCTGGTGCACCGACCCACCATGGACCAGTTCACGGAAGGTGAGGCCTCATGGGGCCCGGGTGCTGGGCCACAGACAGGCTGGGGCAGGCAGTGGGTGACACACGGGCTGTGAGAAACCAGGACGCTCAGAGACAGGCTCACACAAGACCCATGCCTTGTCTTGCGGCCCCGGGTGGGCTGAGTCTGGGGTGAGGCTTAGGGGCCTCAACTCGGGTGACCGTGGCCAGCCAGGCCTGGAAGAGATGGTCGAGGTTCATGCACGTGTGTCTGAACCCACCTCGCACGTGGAGGTTTCTTCAGCGCGGGGCTCCAGCAGGTTATGGTGGGGAGAGAGCGCACCTGGCCAGGCCCTCTTCCCCTAGTCCTCCCACAGTCCCCTGTGTCCCCAGATCAGAGGTCCACACCAGCAGTGATGGCCCTTTGCTACTGGCCCTCTTCCTCTAAGTCTCCCCCTTTCTCACCCAGCTTCAACCCTCTGACTCAGCTGCCCCAGCATCTGAGTGTGACATTCCTGCCCCTCCTGTCCCTTCGCCCAACCCAACTCAGCTGCGCTTTCCTCTGCCAGCTTCCCTGTTGTGCCAGGTTTCCTCCTGTTGTCCCTCCAGCCTTGGGATTCTCGGGGACCTGCTCCCCATCCTTCATCCTCGCAGCCCAGGCCCTGCCATGCTGGTACATGGCATTTGGTGAATAAGCAAACCAGGCCTGGGGCTGACCTTTGTGATATGGGGTCAGGGTGCAGGGGGCAGGGGTCACAGGTAGTAGGCAGGGGGCAGAGAAGCGACCAGGCCACAGGGCAGGGGGAACTGCAGTGCTGGCTTTGCTCCCGTTGCCTTTTGGGAAGTGGGAGAATTGGGTCCACAACTCCAAGAACCCTGGAGGCCGCAGGCTTTGGTTTTGCCCCACAGAGGAAATCCACGCCGAGGTCTGCTATGCAGAGTGCCTGCTGCAGAGAGCGGCCCTGACCTTCCTGCAGGTAGGCGCCCCCTACCCCGCCTTCCAGAAACTGGCCCCATCCCATCGGTAGGGGCTCTAGCATCATCACTCCTGTTCAGGACCCCCCTCCACTCCCTCCATCCTGACTCCTGAGGTGCCACGTGTCACCTCCAGGCGGCGCTCTCGCCCCACCCCAGCCACGGTTCTCCTGGAGAGGGGCACGTGGGCCAGGACTAGTGCACAGAGCCGCCAGCCCAGCTGAATGACCCCCCTGAGCCATTCGCGAGGTTCAGCAAGCTGCCCTGCTTATACCCCATCTTCAGTGCAACTCTGTCCTCACTTGACGGCCAGCAGGGGAGGGGAGAGCAGAAGCAGGGACCGTTCCCAGGGTCCCTGGGGAGCAAGTGGTAGAGCCAGTCATTTGCCAGGTGTGGCTGACACGGGGCCCTTGTTCCTCACCACATCACAGCCATCAGAACTGACCCCTTGCAGTTTCACCAAGCCAGGGTTATAATGAACATTTTATCATGTAAAATAAGTGTATGTATGGGGTGGAGAAGTTCACATATATCTTACCCTTGGGTTTTTCTTTTTTTCAATTTTTTGGTTTGGGGGCCAAATCTGGTAGTGCTCTGCACTCAGGGTTCATTTCTGATGGGGTTCGGGGGACCATATGGAGTGCCAGGGATGGAACCCGAGTCGGCAGTGTGCCAGGCAGGCACCCTCCCCCGGCCTGTCTCTTCCTGTCTCCCTCTGTGCACAGTCTGTGTGTGCAGCCAAGCCTGGGCCTTTTGGAGGTCTTAGCTGACAAATAAGAGCCTCATGCAGGGGCAGGGAGCCTGGCCGCACTGACCTCACTCACCCCCCAGGGCCCCACACAGAATTGGGAAGGGGGGGAGAAGCCCGTGATTCCCACCCCCACAGTTGCCCCTGTCCACCCTCCCCCATCCCCACAGTCTGCCTCTGTCTGTCCCGCAGGATGAGAACATGGTGAGCTTCATCAAAGGCGGCATCAAAGTTCGAAACAGCTACCAGACCTACAAGTGAGTCGGACGGTCATGCAGGTGTCGGAGCTGCAGTGTCTGTGCTGGCCCCAGGTTGCTTTGTGGGGGCTGGAGAGAGGGAGGCAGGAAGCCCGCAGTGACCTCAGGCAGATGGACACTGACCACGTGATTCCCTGCCCACCGTCTCTGGGCTTGAGCCTGGGCTGGAAGGGGAGACACAGGCAGGGACAAACAGCTGGGGCAAGACACAGGACAGGTACTTTGAGAACAGCTGGACGCACCCTCTGTTAAGATCCAGCTAAGAGACATTCCCCTGGCCTGTACACAGGGTGGTCCCCTCCCCCCCAATCTGACAATCCCCCTCACCCACATTATTTCTCCCCCAGCTCTGGGCCCTGACAGGCCGTGTTTAACCCTTCATCCTGAACATGGCACCATAATCCTTACCTGCAACCCCCAGCCCCAAAAGCTCTGCACCCCCGGATTTTCTCCCACAGTTGGTGTTGAAACTCATTTCCTGCTACTGGTCACTGAGTTTGCACGCAGAGCACCAGGTCTGTGCACCTGTGCCCCAGGCACTGTGTGAGAGCGGGAGGGAAACAGCCCCACACTGACTCCTCTTTCCCCACCAGCTGCTGGCATGGTGTTTCAAAGCACCGGCTTTGTGGGGTGCCCCGCCCCCAGCTTCTGTGTCACGGCTGAGTCACTCCTGGGAGGGTCCCCTCCGCTGGATGCCACTTCTCACCTCTCACTGGACCCCATTTCTTCCCCTGTGCCAGCTCGCTCCTGCCACGCCCTGTGCCTGGCAGACATGCCCCCTTGGTGCAAGCCAACCCCTCTGTCTTCTGGCTTCACATCAGTACCAGCCCCAGACCTGGTAGACGCCAGGCTCCTCCTCTGAGCCGTATGGTCTGGCAGGCGGGGGGACTGTCATGAGGGAACTACATGGTGGTTTAATCTACTACTATCCCAGTGCTTGCCTCAGAGACCTCAGTCAGTGATGGCAGACACGCTCCTAGTGATGCTGTGGCCTGGGAAGGAGGCAGGCACATCTTTGAAGCCCCGGTCTTGACCCCTCTGGGCTGGGCCTTGGTGCGGTTTTGGGAGAAAGGGTTAAATACCTGCTGAGACTCCAGGAAGACTTCCAGGAGGAAGAGGTTTGGGTGTTGGCCCACTGGTTCATCATGGTGGGGGAGAGTGGGGGGGGAACTTTCAGTTTCCAGGAGACACTCAGCAATGTGATATCTGGCTGTCACACCTGGGAGAGGAGGCTCCTGACATCTAGTGAGGGGATCGGGGTACTGCTCAGGTCTCTGTGATGCATAGAACCCTCACCCACCCTGCTTCCCCAATCCCAGGACAGGGTGCTTGCAAAGCCACCTGTGATGCACAGGAACACACACACACACACACACACACACACACACACACACACACACACACTCTTAAAATGTTCATAGTGCTAAGCCTAAGAAACTGTTTTAGAAAAAGTGCAGAGCACAAGACGACATGACTAAGAGTGGCAGGGCTGGAATTTGAGGACTGGAGTGGGGGGTGGTTACTACAGTGGCAGGAATTTGAGAATTTCCTCAAATATCAGCTCTCTGGATGCCCAGATGCATTGATCCGTTATTTCAGAGGGGCCAAGGATCGACCCAGGGACTCACACAAGGCACGTCTATTACCACTTAGCTGTGTCCCCAACGGGGCCAGAACAGGTTAAAGTCCCCCCCCCCCCAAACCCTGAGGATTGTGCAACAGCGGGGAGGGGGTCGCGCTGCAGGAGGCTGAGTACTGTGTGCCATCAGGGAGCTGGACAGCCTGGTGCAGTCAGCGCAGTATTGCCAGGGCGAGAGCCACCGGCACTTTGAGGGCGGTGTGAAGCTCGGCGTGGGAGCCTTCAACCTGGTGAGTCGTGGGGCCCCGTCCACCCACACCTGGTTTCCGGGCTCGGAGCCAGCATGACCCTCAGACCCAGCAATGCGACAGATGCGTCCAAGCTGGCGGGACAGGTGCTGGCCAGGCTCCCGTGCGCTGCTCCCCAGGGCCAGCAGGCGGCGTGGCATTGCCCCACGTGGGAAGGTGGATGGCAGCAGAAATGGGCGGACAGCGGCCCAGTGCCTGCTCTTCCCTGGAGGGCCACTGGTGGAGCACTGAGAGGAGGAGCCGCTATGAAGCAGCTGCTGCCCACAGGGCTCGGGGAAGGAGGGGCTACCTGGGCCCTGGGTGGCCGGGCCCCCTACCCAAGCGGGCATGGCGGGGTGCAGGAGTGTGGCTGGCTCACCCCCCACCAGACAAATCCTGTGTACAGGGCAAGGGTGCAGGAACCACTGATGTCCCAGCTTCCTCCCCTGGGGAAGTTAAGTCTGGGCCCTGGCCCTGGCCCCAGGGCTGAGGTGTTAGAAAGTTGCAAAGTGCCAATCTCTACTCCGAGTCCACGTCTCGGGGCCTCAGTTTCTCCATCTGTGAGGGGGCAGTGCTGCTCTCTGGCAGACTCCTCTGAGGACTGAGAAGTTAGGGTTCGTGAAACCGTAAGGAAGGCCATGGTGTGTCCCCCAGAGTCTGGTCTCATCCCTCGGCATGAGGAGACAGGGAGCTGGCTGCGCCCGGCACACTGCCGCCCCACGTGGGAGGCTGACCCCCTCGGGGCATTCAGAGGGCCCGTACCCCGAGGATACCACAGTGCCCGGGACTCACTCAGGCCCCCCTGCTGCTCTCCCTGCAGACTCTGTCCATGCTGCCCACGAGGATCCTGCGCCTCCTCGAGTTCGTGGGCCTTTCCGGGAACAAGGTAAAGCCCCTTACTGAAGGGAAATATTAGGGAACAAGGGAGCCCCCGTATTCCAGCGGGTATGAGGGTGTCAGTCTTAGCTCAGCTTGGGGTGTGTGTCTGGCAAGGCCTGGGTGGCTCTGGGCTCAGCACTTCCCAACACTGACTGATCCATGGGACCTGGGATCCCTCCTGGCACCTCCCAGGGTGTCTGGGGGGGTATCTGTGCCATGAGCACAGCTTCATGCCAGGGCCTGGGCTCCCTCTCTTGCTCTCGCTTGCTCTCTCTACTTTGCTTTTTGGGTCATACTCAGTGATGCTCAGGAGTTGCTCTTGGCTCTGTGCTCAGGGATCACTCCTGGCGATGCTTAGGGGACCATATAAGATGCCTGGGTTTGGACAAGGGCCCTCCCGACTGTACTGTATCTCTGGCCCCATGGCCTGGGCTCTCTTAAGTCACAAGTGTCTTCCCTTGGGACCATTTTCTCATCTGGAACATCCCCAAGAAAAGCCCAACTTCCTGGCACGTCCTGAGAGCAGAAACCAGAGGATTCATGAGGAGCCTGCAGGCTCTTCTGAAGGCAGGAACTTTAGTACCAGGTTGCAGATCAGGGAGGACTCCCAGGTAGAGGAGTAGCTTTGGCCCAGAAGTCCAAAGTACTAGGTCAATCCATCTTGGTCCTTGTGATAGAGCAGAATGCACCCTCCACTGGACCTGTTTACTATGAAATATGGTTTTGTGTTTTGTTCAGGTTTCGTGTTTTAAAGACAAAGGTCAATGTGTTTTACACTTGGACTTTATCTGACCCTTCCTGATTTCTAATGTACCCACAACCTCTGTTATTTATAAACAAGAGGCTTTTTCTCAAAAATGATTCCTCCTTGATTTATTTAGGGAATTTGGGCTACATCTGGCAGTGCTCAGGGGTTACTCCTGGCTCTGCATTCAGGAATCACACCTGGTGGGCTTGGGGATCACATGGGGTGCTGGGGAATCAAACCTGGGTTGGCCACATGCAAGGCAAATAAATGTTCAGAGGATTTGTGAGGAGCCTCTGGGCTGTACTATTACTCCAGCCCAGTTCCATTTTTTTTAAACCTAAATCTATTGATTTAGGAGCTGGAGCGATAGCACAGCAGTAGGGCATTTGCCTTGCACGCAGCCAACATGGCCGACCCAAGTTCGATTCCTCCGCCCCTCTCGGAGAGCCTGGCAAGCTACCGAGAGTATCTCGCCCGCACGGCAGAGCCTGGCAAGCTCCCCGTGACGTATTCGATATGCCAGACATAGTAACAACAAAGTCTCCAATGGAGACGTTACTGGGCCCGCTCGAGCAAATCGATGAACAACGGGAGGACAGTGACAGTGACAGTGAAATCTACTGAAAGAAAATAGAAACAGAAAGCCCATATCACTTGGCACAGTAAGAACATAATCATGAAAGTGAACATGATGAACTGTTCAGCTGTGCTGTGCCCTGCCTTGCCCGCTCAGCCCAGCTGCTCTCTGGGAAAGCATAGTGGGTGGACCATGGGGTCCAGGACACAGGCCCCTGGTGCCGAGGATATGGGCCTCATGTCTCAGCCTATCTGTCCTGTATCCTGCCCCCCTGCCCTGTGGCCTAGGCGCCAGGACTCTGACTGGCATGGCAAGCCCTTTCCGCTTCCTGTTATAAGAAGGCTCTCGACCCAGGCATGAGCGCCTTCAGGCACAGGCTGATCCGCACGGCTGAGAGCAAGGCGAGGCCAGTGGGGCAGAGGTCCCGTTCTGTCACTCTGTCGGGACTTCATCTAAGTTGGAGCCAGGGAGCCAGGGAGGGGCTTTAGGGCAGCCGAGTCTGTCTGTGAGGAAGATGCAGAAGGTTCTAGATGGGCCAGGGAAGGGGCACAACAGGCTGAGTACAGGCTTGGCACGTGGGCAGCTTGGGTTCAATCCCTGGTACCACCTGGTCACCCAGATACCACCAGGTGTGACCCCAAAACAACTTCTTGGAGGGACAGGCAAGGGCTGAGAGTGCGGAGGGGACGGCTGGGTGTAGTGCCGATTCCTCCTCAGAGCTCTGAGCCTCCTCCAGGAAGCCCTCCTGGCCCCTTCGTTACAGGAACTGTCCCTCAGATTCCTCGCCTCCTTTTGTTTCCCCTCCCCCCCCCCCCGGGGTGGGCTGCTTCTGCCCCTCCCCCCCCCACAAGTTAATGGTGGAAAAACTGAGATGGGGCCTTACTGGGACCCGGCAAGCCTTTGCCTCAGCACTTGCCCCAGGAGGATGCTGAGACCTGGTGGCATAGCAGGGCAGTGGACCTGGCTTCGGACCAGGGTCCAGGGGAGCCCCTTGCTGGCCCTGACTCCGCCTCCACCCCAGGACTACGGGCTGACACAGCTGGAGGAGGGCGCTGCAGGCCACAGCTTCCGCGCCGTGCTCTGCGTCATGCTGCTGCTCTGCTACCACACCTTCCTCACCTTCGTGCTCGGTAGGTACCCGGGAGTGGCCCCGGGTATCGGCACCACAGACCACACCATGCACCCTGGGCCTGCCTGCGGAGCACTCGCTCTCCCAACTGGAGCACCAGCTCCAGGGAGATGGGCTGGTCGCGCCCCTGTGGCGGAGGGCGTGGGGACCCTGGCCATCTGCACTGTCTCCTGTGACCCTCACCTCTCCCCCAAGACACAAGTGTCCTAGGGTGACGGGTGTGCTCCCTGCTCCAGGCACCGGCAACGTCAACATCGAGGAGGCCGAGAAGCTCCTGGCGCCCTACCTGAAGCGGTACCCTAAGGTGAGCCCTGCCTCCCGCCAGCACCCCAACCCCCCACCCCGCACCAAGCTGCCCACCGCACACTCTCCCGCATCCCACAGGGTGCCATCTTCCTCTTCTTCGCTGGCCGGATCGAAGCCATTAAAGGCAACGTTGATGAGGTGAGTCACCCTGGGGCACTGCAGACAGATGTTAGACGCTGACAGTCAAACTCTGGACAGGGCTGTGGGAATGGGCCTTCCAGAGGGGACCTCAGAGGGGAGGAAGGAGGTGACAGGGAGCCAGCAGGGATGGGGACATTGTGCTTTAGTGTGCAGTGGCCACCTGGATGGATGGTGAGGGGTTCACCTGGCGGAAGTCCATGGGCATCGCTGAGTGAGGATGGAGAAAGGACTAGAGAGAGGACAAGAGGTCCTCCACCCTGACAGAGAGCCAGCTCTTTTGGGGGGTGGCACAGACCCTCCTGTACAGAGCTGGGGTGACTGCGGGGGCAGCAGGCCCAGGCTGCCTTGCAGGAGCTCCCAGAGCCTTTGGAGTCTGCAGGAGTCCCGAGCCCCCTTTTGTAGGGCTTTGAGAGACTCCCCACAATCTGTGCTGGCTCCCTCCAGCACCCCGAGCCCATTCCTTCACCTGGGGCTGACACCCCGTGTCCAGAATCCCTAGGGGCCGAGCCAGGCCAGAATGTCCTGGTGCTCGGGCCTTCTGGCCAGCAGAGGGGATCACAGGGCACGAGGGGAGGTGCGGGGTGCCCTGAGGCTGAGCAGGGGGTGCCCACAGGCCATCCGGCGGTTCGAGGAGTGCTGTGAGGCGCAGCAGCACTGGAAGCAGTTCCACCACATGTGCTACTGGGAGCTGATGTGGTGCTTCACCTACAAGGCCCAGTGGAAGATGGCCTACTTCTACGCCGACCTGCTCAGCAAGGAGAACTCCTGGTCCAAGGTGGGTGAGCCCGTGTGCCGGGCACTGAGCAGCAGGCCTGGTGCCAGGGTCGCCCTCCCCCCACCCCCCAATCCCAGCTCAGGAAACACATGACCTGGAAGATGAATTATACCAGCAACTAAGGCGGGTGGAGTGCCGCGCAGCTGTCTCTGGCAGGAGCACCCAGCATGTGGCCCTGTGGCACCCGACGTGCCCAGTGTAGCTGGAGAGCCGGATGTTTTGTTTGTTGTTTTGGTTTTTGGATTTTTGCAGTTTTTCCATTGCAGGGGGTGGGGGGTGGGGGGAACACCCAGAGGTGCTCAGGGCTATGCCTGGTTCTGTTGCTTAGAGATCACTCCTGGTGGGACTCAGGGAACCATATGTGACAGCAGGGATTGAACCTGGGTTGGCTACATGCAGGACAAGCTCTATACCCACTGTAGTATCTCTTTGGCCTGCGATTTTATAATTTTTTTTTCTCTTGGGGCCATGCCCAGTGAGTGGTGTTCAGGGACTGCTCCCAGCCTGGGGTTCAAGACTTTATGTGTTATTAGTTTGCTTGTTTATTTTGGGGCCATATCCAGCAATGCTGAGGGTCACTCTTGGCTCTGCGTTCAGGAATCACTCCTGGTGGCGCTCAGGGCTCAGGGGACTATATGTTGTACCAGGGACTGAGCCCGGGTTTGCTGCATGCAAAGCAGGTGACTTACCAGCTATACTGTCACTCTGGCATCTTTAAAACGTTCCCCCATATTTATTGAGGAACTATGACTTATAGTACCGTTTATGACACATCAGTCCCAGTGCCACATCCACTACCAGAGTGCCCTTTTCCCTCCACACTGTGCCAGGGACCCTCCTGACCACCCTCTTAGGTAAACTCAAAAACTGTATTTTTAATATTTAGTTTTATCGAACGCAAAGCTAAAATTTAAAAGTCACACGTGGCTAATGGACACCTTAGTGGGTTATGCTGGTCTAAAACACAGGAAGTTCTTTCCTTGGCTCCTGTCAAGGAACCTCCTAACTTCAGGTTGGGTTGGATCCAGAAATTCGAATGATGACCTTAGGGCTGGCTGTTCCTCTTTTGTAGCTGCACTCTCGTCCAGGACATCTTTGTTGCAGGGAGACCTATCCTTGGGACAGGCAGGGTGGCCCCCAACTCTCATAGTCCCTTGGGCTTCAACCAAAGCCCACACAGAGCTCTTGGATCTGGCACAGTGTGCCACAGTGCAGAGAGAGGGCGGGGGGCAGGCAGGAGAGGGTGACTCCCCAGCAGGAAAACAAGGCTGTATCCCTGAAGTTAAGTTGATGCTGGTGGCAGGGTGGGGGCGGTGCATCCAAGGGATGCCAGTGGGCAAAACAAAGCACAAGAGATACTCAGCATAGGTGGACACTCCTGGCACATGGGCACTCCTGAGAAACGGGAGGTTGCAGCCCCCCAAGTGCTGGACCCTTGTTCATTTCTAACCTCTATTCCCTGTCTGCTTGAGCTCCCACCAACTTCCAAATAATGGTGTCCATGCCCACATGCCAGCCACCCTCCTCCCTTAGCGCCTGTTTCTGCCAGGACTGGCCCTGGTTTCTGGGGAGCCTGTGTGTGTGAGAGCTGAGATGGCCGGGAACCTGGGGGGCACAGCACTGCTCAGGAGGCTCAGGGAGGGGGACTCAGGGGAACCTGGGGTCTCCCAGCCAGGAGGCGGCTTTAGGGGGTTGAGTGAAGGGAGTAAAACGACAGCCCAAACCTAGAGAAGAGCAAGGGAAGTTACCAGAAGGTTCTGTCACTGGCAAGGAGGGACAGTAAGCCCCTGAAGGACCAGACTCAGAACAGACCCCAGAGAGGTGTGAGATCAGGGGACAAACATCTCCCTTGAGGGGAGATGGTGGCTGTCTTCCCAGCCCCTCAACATTTCTCAGGTACTTGGATATCCATGGGCATCACAGCTTTAGTCACACATCTGACCTGGGGGTCCACTGTTGAGGGCAGTGCATGAGGCTGGCCAGGAAAGGCACCGTCTCCCAGGTTGGGGGAGGGGGTAGCACAGGCAGCCCAGGAGGAGGTGAAGGAGCAGAAGAGGAGGAGCCTGAGATGGACAGCAGGTCATGGGGTTCCAGAGGGGGAGTCTGGCGGGGCGCGGAGCCCCTGACGCTTAGATCTTAGGAGTCTCTTGGCAGTCACTGGCAACCCTCTTCTGGGGACTGTTGTCGGTAGTGAATAGACCCCCTCCCTTGGGGCTCCTGTGCTGGTGGGAAGAGACAGGAAATCTGCAGGTGTGACGAGAGGCTCAGGGATGCTGGGTGCCAGGTTGGGATGAGGGAGTGGTGTGGAGACCATCCCATCTACCTGAGAAAACCCCAGAACAGAGGAAGGCATCAGCCCCAGTGCAGCTCACCCCGTGGCAGGTGGCTTGGAACGGGGAGGACTGCGTGGCTTCCGTGTCTTCCGGAAGGGCCCACACATCAGTGTACCTAGAGGGGGGTGGCGAGAAAACTGGGGTAGACTGGACAGACTGTGAGAGGAAGTTCGCATTTTATTCTACATTTGACCCGGGATGCAGATGATTTTGAGAAGACTGTGGGGTTGTGTGGAAAGTGGCCTGCAGGGGGCAGCAGTGGAAGCAGTGAGCCGGTCAGAGCCTAAGGATTGGGCTGGAGAACATCCCCAGAGCGGGGTCACGCTCAGTAATTGGAGTGAGCCATTGAGGGCGAGGCCAGTGGAATCTAAGATAGCAGGTAGAACCATGAGCACTGGATGATTCAATGTCAGGGCGCGGGTAGGGAAGGCAGGGATGACAACAGGAAATCAGAGGGACTAGGAAACAGGTTTCATTGTGGGGAGATCCTTCCCACTGCACCCCACAAGGACCAAGTTTTCCTCATTTCATAAAGGGCAGACTTCAGGTGCTGGGAGTCGTCCTAGGCTACAGCCTGGGTGTGGCTGCCTGGTGGAGACAGTTTTCCAGAGGTGAGACTCCAGGATGTCCTCCTCCACCCCCACATTTCTTCCGGGGCTACTGGCGGCTGTGTAGAAGCTGTAGTTCATGGTCTGGCCACTGGAAGGCAGCACCGAGCCAGACTCCACTGGCTGGGTTTGTGGGGTGAGCCTTTCAGAGGCACATTGCCTGCAGTTGTCCCTGCCAGGGACAGGCGTGGGTCCAGTGAGCAAGGCGCTGACTTGGAGCGGGACGTGTGCACTGCTCCACGTGGGTAGCACTGCGGGTCCAGGAAGCAGGTGTGGGTGTGGATTCCTCTGGGCCGAGTCTCTGGGATCTGGCAGGGTGATTGTGAGAGCTGACGCCCAGTAAGGCTGTTCTGTCCGGGAGCCTGAACCCTGCCCTGACTCAGGCCTCACCTCTCATGCCTCCCAGCTGGCTTGGGCACGCTGCTGCCCTTCCCTGGTGTTGCTCAGGCTGTTTCCTGGCCTGGAATTACCTTGCCAGGCTCTCTGCGAATCTTACTATTGGCCGCCAGTGGCTCATAAGGGGGTCACTGCTTTTCAGGAGCCCTGGCCCCAGGGTCTTTGGGAGGGGGGTGTCTCCATCTCACTCTCCATATGACCTGCCCATGCACTGCTTCCCTGAGCCCATTTCTCTGATGCTTCAGAGGAGAAAGGGTGGCTGCCTTAACAGGGCCCAGGCTGGGAATCACTCCCAGTTCAAGTCCTCAGGTCAGTTCAGTTCCCCCACCCTCGATTTCGGGGTTTGGGGCCAAGACTAGTTGCGTGTGGGGTCATCTGGAGTGTCCAAGACTGGCCCATGATGGGCGGCTGCTCCCACCTGACTACCTCCCACAGGCCACCTACATCTACATGAAGGCTGCCTACCTCAGCATGTTCGGGAAGGACGACTGCAAGCCGTTCGGTGACGATGAAGTGGAGCTGTTCAGGTGGGTCCCATCATGGCCTCCCCAGCACCGACTCCGCCAGGCTCTACCACAGTCCCCCTGAGCTGGGGGCACCAGGGAGGGGGAGGGTGCAGTGTCCTTTTTCCTGGTCTTGAGCTCCACACACTCCCCCCGGGTCGCTCCCTGTGTCCCCCGCGCCCACCCTCCCAGCCCCCTTTGCTGTGCTTCATAGAGTCTAAGCATGAAGTTTCACCTGGGCCTGCAGACCTGGGAGAGGGTTAGGGGGTGGCCTGAGCCTCCTGGGCTATCACTGTCATTGTCACAAGGTGTTTATCATTTACCAAGTGCCTCTTTCTCCATCTCGTGGAAATTCTTGGAAAGCATGTGAAGGGATCATTATATTGTATTTTAGAGATGAGAAAACAGGCCCAGAGTGGTTCTGTATGAATACGCAGGAGAGGCATTTGGCTGGGAACCTTACACTCAGTCCAGCTGTTTCTTAGACATGGATGGCTCTGAGCTGAAGGTCATCACCACACCCAGTGACTCGGGCAGAAATTCGAGGGTGGGAAAGAATGAGGGTGCTGAGTCCTCATGTGTGCTGCAAAGCACAATTAACTCTGTCCTTAGAGACAGCTGAGGGACTTGGCAGGAGTTCACGAAAGGTTTGAACTGGGTGGAGTGTTTGTCTCCTGGAGTGTTTGTCTCCCTGTGAACCGGATCAAAGAGACACACAGGACTCCCGGAAGTGGGTTCTGGCAGTACAGCAGAGCTGAATGGACCTGAGGTGTGTTTGGGAACATTCTCATTTCTGCCAGATGGTGTGAAGGTGCCCCTGGCCTAGAAACAGGAGGTGATAGGTCATGGGGCCGGATTGGCCTGTGGGCATATAAGTTCAGAGGGGGCCAGGCTGAGGTGGGGCAGTTGGGGGCTCTCAGTCCCCTCAAATGTTTTCTCACCCTTTCCTCTACCCTTACCTCTCTCAGAGCTGTGCCAGGCCTGAAGCTGAAGATTGCTGGGAAATCTCTGCCCACAGAGAAGTTTGCCATCCGGAAGTCCAGACGCTACCTCTCCCCCAATCCTGTCTCCTTGCCTATCCCAGCTCTGGTGGGTAGGAAGATCTTGATTGGCCATGCACCCCAAGCCTGGGCTTGGGTAGATTAGCTGGGAGTCAACTCTGGACCCCCTAGGGGCAAGTAGAAGGGGGAGGAGCTTCAGGCTTCAGGGGAGCCGGGAGATATTGTTCACGGGCGGGGGTGAAGAAAACTGGTGAGTCTGAAAGAACTAGTCTGGGGGGCCGGGGGAAGGGAAACACCCCAAAGATGACTGACTCACTAGATAGCACCACACCTCTGTCCCCAGCTGTTTGTGTTTCCACCCTGTGTCCCAGTCTTGTGACATGGTCCTGTTGACATGTTTGCCCTCCCTGGAACCACAGAGTAGTCAGTTGTGAGACAGCAATGGCAGCACTTAGGCACTTGCTATGTTCAAGGCTCCTTAAAACACTGCCCGTCGCTCTCACAGCCGCCTTCCCGGTGACAGAGAGGTGCTGTGCTATCCCCAGAGAGACAAGGAGAAAGAGAGAATACCACACAAGTAGATAAGATGTAAGCTGAAGGACAGAATGACTAGCATCGGACACATCTCAGTCAGAATTTGAACCCTGATAGTCGGGTTCCAGAGTCCATATTCTGAACTCTGTGAGGATGCTGATTTCTTACAAGATCGGAACAGATATCAAAAACATCTCTAGTTTGCTAAGGCCCTTTTATGCTTTAAGTAGTGGGGCAGGCAAAAATCTCGAACAGGCACTGGTTCAGCCATCACCGATTGGTCACAAGTTATGGACTCTTGAGTCAAGTCCCCTTTCCCTTAATGTAAAGTAGAAATAGTCGTTGATACCTAACCCATTCCCCAGGACAATGAGGAGAATCTGTTGATAAAAGGTGTCATAGTCTATAAATCAAAAAGTTCAGTATCATATAGAATTTAGCATCCGGAGTATCTCTAAGCAAATTTTGAAATCATTTTAGTTTAAAATATACAGCAAATCTATTATTATCAAATTGGGTGAGGGTTGTAAGAAAGGGAGATAAGCAACTACACCAAATTTTGGGGGAGAATTTCCCAAACTATAATCTGCAAAACTCAGTTTATGCATGAAATGATCACATAACTAAATATATTTAGAAAACTTGACCAAAGTTTATGTGTTAACCTTGTTGAATTCTTTATATGCTGCAGTGTGCTTGACCACAGAAAAGTAGTCTAGACAGAGTGTTTGCTAACTTGGGACCATGTAATGATTTGAGAAATAGTGATCTAAACCAAATTCCCTCTCAAGACCCTAACAGCCATGACACTTGTCTTTCTAGAACTTGATTTATACAAATCACTTTCGCATCTGTTACCTGGTTTGGTAGTTTAGGAAAAGATAATCTAATGGAGTTACTCTGAACGAAAAAGAGTTTTCTAAGCTTCCTGATCTTTAAGGCACACTCAACAGGAAGGAGGCGACTAGAGGATTAAGATATATTTCACTGATTTCTTTCTAATTAAGTGCCATAGGAGAAAAGCCGACACAGTCTTAAGCTCTACTGGAAATTCTGAAATACTTAAGTAAAATTTGGTTCCTCCAACTTGGGATAAGGCCCTGCCAGCTGGAACAAGGAGGGGGATTTCCTGGAGAGAGTGGAGCATGGCTTGTTCCTCATAGAACAGGAAAAGCTCAGACTTAGGCTGGGAGAGGGTAACAGTGCCAGGGTAGCACAATGAGAAATAGCTGAAAACTATTCACTGTTCTAAATAGAATATTAAAGAAATAAGTCCATCTTCATGACTGTATCACTAGGGTATAATCTTATTATTGTTATAAGACTTCACTCATAATCCCCTCAAACCCACAACTTCATAGGCTAGACTGAGACTTGTGGAAGACAAGCTCTAGAAGGGCCTTTAGTTAATCCTCTGATTTAAGCTGCCCATTTTACAGATGGGGAAACTGAGGCCCCATTGGAAAGAAAACCTAGGACTGATTTACTCCCTGCCTTCAGGAAATGATGTACATTTGGAATGGCTACGCAGTGATTGGGAAAGAGCCGGAACTCACAGACGGGATACTTGAAATTATCATCAAGGCTGAAGAGACTCTGCAGAAGGGCCCAGGTGACTAACTCCAGGCTGGGTCTGACCACAGGTCTCACAGTTGGAGAAATGCCCTCCCTTCCTTCTCTTCCCTATACTGTCCTTTGCTTCTGTAGATGAAGCTTCAAGGGCAGCTCCTCCAAAGAGCTGTCCCTGTTCTGAGTGCCCAGGCATCCTCGGGGCTCTTCTAGCCCCTGGGCTTCCTCCAGTCAGTCCTGGCCTCACTCTACTGTCATCGTCTCATTACCTGTCTTCCCTTGATGTGAGCTCCCCAAGGACAGGGACCATATGTGAGTCACTTCTGTGTCCCTGGGGCCCAGAACAGAGTAGGAGCTCCATGGAACTGTGTCAGACCTGAACCCGTGTCGTCTTCCTTCACTCCCCCATTCGCAGAGAACGAGTACTCAATGGACGATGAGTGCCTGGTGAAGTTGCTAAAAGGCTTGTGTCTGAAGTACCTGGGCCACACCCAGGAAGCTGAGGAGAACTTCAGAAGCATCTCTGCCAAGTGAGCGCCTCTTTGTAACTCCTGAGAATGTTCAGGGTGGCTCAGTCCTCACACACACTAAGGTCTGAGGCCAGTTTTCTGGCTGGGCATATCATTCAGATCCCCAGAAGTTCACAGATAAGAGCCCATGCACAGAGTTGCCTTAGCATGATGCCCCCCAAGTCTCCAATTCAATGGCTGCTCTTGCCTTTGGAGAGTTTAAATGCACAGGCAACCCAATCTGGGGGTGACAGAGGAAGAACAGAGGGCACAGGTTTCCTGAGGGGGGACTGGAACATATTGTGAGGTACCAGGAATGGCCTCTAGGGAGGCAGCTTCATTCAGAAGTTTATCAGGCAGGCAAACCAAGGGAGGAGTTTTACATGGAATGGGGACAGAATTCACAAGGGAGTTGCAATGGAGACACCTGAGGTGAAGGACAACCGTGATTAAGGTCTTCCCTGCCCATTAGGTTATGAGTTCTGGAGGACACAGGGGGAGGCCTACAAGGCTGAACAGGAGAGAGCCATGAAGGACACAGAACAGCTTTAACAGGGGTCTGGAGTGATAGCACAGCGGGTATAGTGTTTGCCTTGCATGCGGCCGACCCGGTTTGATTCCCAGCATCTCATAAGGTCCCCCGAGCACCACCAGGCGTAATTCCTGAGTGCAGAGCCAGGAGTAACCCCTGTGCATCGCCGGGTGTGACCCCCTCCCCCACAAAAAAAGGCAGCATGGAGGGTGGTTTGGAGGCTAGATAGGAGAAAATCTTCCAGTTAAATACGTTGTTCAACCTAAAAAGGATGTTGTGGAGGGGAGGGCTGTGTCTGATTCTGGAGGACTAGAAGGCTGCTTGGATCCTAAGCTTCGCAGTGCTAGGAAGCGGAAACCACCCCAACCTGGCACTCCCATCCAAAGGGTCATGTGAAGGAATTCTCCTTGGATTCTCTTGTTTGGGGAAGACTCGAAGGAACCTACTGAACAGTAAGGGCAGAAACTTGTAAGCCTTATTCTCTTTCGTTTCACAGTGAAAAGAAGATTAAATATGACCACTACCTGATCCCAAACGCCATGCTGGAGCTGGCCCTGCTGTTTATGGAGCAAGGGAAAAATGAAGATGCTGTCAAACTCTTAGAAACTGCCAAGTAAGGCTTGGGGTAGCCTTGGTAGCTTTGCTCCACCCGAGCTCAGGAACTTGCTTCTCAGGCCGCAGGGAAGAAGGGTGCTGCCCAGGGCAGTATGGCATTCAGAGGTGGGGCCCGTCTCTGGGAACCCAGCTTTCACCTTGTGAGGGAGGCTTCCTTCTCCATGTACTTGCAAGAAACCAGAATCCCAGAAGCAGGGAATCGTTCCCTGGGGTCATACCGCAGGCCAGCCGCAGGACTGGTGTAGACACAGGTCTCCACCTCTTGGAATCACTCCTCAGCTTGGGCACTCATGAAGACTAAGAGTGAACTTTCTATTTATAACTCTAAGGTTTACTATGCACCCTCTCTGCTAATCTCCATTGCACAGGGCCCAACTCTTTCGTTGAACACACAGGGCAATTCTTGGCTGGTGGGATCCCACAGCACGAATGGAAGGAAAAGGGTCTGATTGTTTGGTCTTTTCCAGACAAAACTACAAGAATTACTCCATGGAATCAAGGACACATTTTCGAATCCAGGCAGCCACCCTCCAAGCCAAGACTTCCTTAGAGAACGGCAACAGATCCCTGGTCTCGTCAGTGTCCTTGTAGTTTTGTGCAGCACTCCCAGCCTGAAGACAGACACAGCTGACAAAGCTCCTGGAAACATTTCAAAACAATTCCTCCCCCATGCCCTGCCCTGCCCTGCCCTGCCCTGCCTTTGGGATCACTGGTGTGCCCAGTGAAGGGCACCACAGAGGTATCCGTGCAGAAGTGAAGCCAGCAATTTCACCAGTGTGGCCAAGGGCCTTTGCCAAGAACAGAGCAGGTGGAGCACATGGACTGCCCTACACACATACGGGTACTTGTTTTTTCACTGTGATGTTTAAGAGAATGTATAAAGTTTACATTTTCCTTAGAAATATATTGATGAGATCATAGTTGGCTTAAAAAAAAAAAACACCAACCAATCACCTGTAAATCTTTGTTTTAACTGATTGCTCTCGAAAACATTCTCATAACACCAAAGACCGAGTTGCTTTTCAATCTTCAGCAAGGGCTAGAAAGACTTCTCTGAGAACCCGAGGAATCCAGGAGGACCGGAAGGATCTGCACTTTCTGGGGTTTGGGTACAGGGATTACACATACACTTCACTCCTTTCTAAGTTAATTTTCATTTCCTAGCTCTTCAATTTAACAAAAAAGATCAAAGATGTCCTTTGATTTGAGTCCACCAGTACAGAATAGGGAATCTGAGGCCTGCTGAACGAGAAACTGGGCAGCCCTTTCTGTACCAAAGTCAAGAAGTTTCAGGGAAGGTCCTGAAACCAGCTTGCAAGACAAAACACAGGGAAACATTTATTAAATAAACCTTCCATACTTCACTCTGAAGTATACTGATCTACTGAGAGCATTTTTTCTCAACAGTTATTTTCAGGCTGATATACACATTTTAGACTTTACAGTTAAAAGAGATATTAAATAAAACACACTTAAGAAATCATGCAACATCTATTTCAATTAAATATGTGTTGCTTCAATACTTGGGGAGGTCACAAATTTGGTTCTGAAGTCGTATGGACCTGTATGTTCTATGTAGACAATATGTTTAAAATTTTTCAGAATGTTTCTAATATTTAAAATGGTGAGTTTTCACAAATAAATCTGGTTTCTGGCTTCTTCTTTTAAAATCTGCCTTGCAGTCAGCAGCAGCTGAGTAGAGGTTACTTTTCTTCAAGCTCTTGTATTACCTTCCTGGCTTAAAACACTTGAATTTTCAAGCTCTGGGGCTGTCAAAAGTGAGAACTCTTAAATTCAAAACAAAAACTAAACATAGCTAGTTTTATACTGGAAGATAAGTATACTGCAACTTAACTATTCCCAGGAGGTAAAATCATGTACACAGCACAAAGAGTTACATTACGTCCACTTTCCTGGTATTACTGTATTTGCTAGGGGTGGGTGGGTTAATGTATTAAGAAGAGTCAGCTGGTCTCTGATACTGAAATCCTGAAATTTAGATAAAGTGTATTCTCTGTAGAAAAAAAATAGCAAAAACTCAAAGACCCTCTTTTGCACTAAGAACTATCAGCAGGCATGCTGAAACAAGAATTCTTAATTTGTTAGAACTAGAAGAATCCCTACAACCCTTTGCAAGCTCTTTTCCAAAGCCTGAATGCTAGACCAACCACTTCTAAGTTGTGGGGCAGGGTGAGGGGGTAAGTGGAGCCTGGCTGTTGGAGGAGGGAGATACCTGCTCCTTCCCTCCACCCCTCCCCCCACCCTGTATCAAAGCAGCACCTGTTCACAGGAGGCCAAACACAACTGCAGTCTGCAAAACTTTCATTTCAGTACACATTGTAGGCTTTTGCTTTCACTTAAAACATTTTATGCCAGGCTGGTTTCCTTGTCAGTGTTGGTTTTTGCTGATTTCTTGCTGGGCTTCATTAGTTAGCCTACATCACCTTTACCTCTGCTGCCCAGCTGCAGTCTGGCTGATAAGAGAAATCAGTGGGTTTGGCTCCTTCATTCCACCTGCAACTTGAGATAGTCGACTGAAAACATGTACATAAAAGACGATGACACACTGGGTGTCTGACCCCTTCCCTCCCTTAGGCAGAGGCCTCCGAAGGTAAAAATGATGTCATGGGCTTTTCATTGTTTCTTCTGAGTCATTTCTGGTCATTGCGTCTCTAATAGTGCAGACCTTTCAAGCACATCTGCCCTTGGAGGAGGAAGCCGATCCGGTTTGAGTCTAGACATGAGAAAACTTGAAATCTAGTCTCTGCTTTGTTACTGCTTTTCAGAGATCTTGGGGTACAGGCCCCCTAAACATCAAAACCGTACGTTGCTTCAATCGGGGACCTCTACAGCAGCCCAGGTCCACAGACAGCAAACAATCCCCATTTAGGAAAGTCTAAATTCCTGGGCCTTACAGAGGAACTTGGTTGTTAGAAGTAGCAACTACATCATGATCAGGAAGTCTACCTCTCTGCTTCTGGTCACAGCCCCTGAACTGGAAGGGTGGCTTCCAGCAGTGTGCCAGCCCCTATCAGCTCTCCCACGGTTTGGCAGGATTCCCTAGTCCTTATCTCAAGTCAGAACGGGAGTGTTTCCAAGACTGCTATCGTCATTCACAGCAAAAAGCCATGACCTGAGAGCAAAACCAGGACCCTAAAAGGCGACTGACAACTGGAGATTTGGCAGAGGTCCAGGTGGGAGATTCCCAGGAGTAGAGAGGTTCTGGGAGGTTCTGAGAAAGCCCCCAGCTGCTGCTAGAACCACTCAAGGAAATAAATTCCACTTCTCTCCAGAATTACTCCCAATTTACTGCTTCTAAGATGATGTCCAGTGGACAAGCTGTCTTGTTTGCATCAAATTTAAAGCTGAATGTCACGCCAACTGGTTCCCAGTGTCCTCAGCCTCAGCTCCATCATTCATGTTACTAATTCAGTAATAAAGCAGAGGTGCCTGGATTCTAAACACCAAGCAGCAAATGTGAAGTCCTAACTCCTCCCCCCAGTCTGCAGTTTTCCAAGGCTGAAAAGTGTGTTTTTGCTTGGGCTAGCACAGCTCCTTTAATAAGCTGGTGCAAAGCTCACTAGTGTTCAACAAAATCCACAAGTTTTATTTGGGGGCTTAAAAACTCCAAAGTGAGCAAACCTAGGAACTGTTTTTACAACATAAAGTTAATTATTGTGACAAAAATGTACCAGAGACCCTTCCTTAGGAATAAACAACTACTAAATGTTACGGAGATCTATAATTGACAAGCTTAATCAGATGCTTCATAGCCAACACTTCACAGATAACTGTGATTATATTGCTTAGCTTTTTCTTCACATTAATATTTCAGAATACAAGACGCCATATATGCAGTACCCATACTAGCTAATAAGAGCTCCATATTTACCAGTTGCTATTCCAGCCACCCTTAAAACTACCAATGAAATTGGAACTATTTATCATTTCACAGATGAGAAAACAAGTTAAAAAAAAACCTGCCTAAAATCGCATAGCTATTAACACAGCAGAAAGATATCAAGCTCATGAAACCTAAAGCCCATGCTTTACAAAACTGCTGGTCAAAACTGTAATATTATTAAAGTTGGATCTGATTCATTGACTTAGGCAACTGTTAAAGTTGGAAAGCTACTTACTGGCTAGTAACTCAGTGGAAATCCTTGGAGTGGAACACATGGAGCATATGCCTATATGGCATGGTTCCCCCTGCTCACCTGGCAGTGTCACATAGGGCGTCTAATTATCAAAAGGAAAAAGGCATCCATTAAAGAAAGAGTATTTGCTCATGAAATTACAATGATGTCAAATGAAAAGGTGAAATCTAATCCCCAGTTCCACAGTTAGCATTCCGATCAGCTAATGCAGAGATGGGAGTAAAGGCCACACAGATGCAGAAGCCTAGGCTGAAGGGGAGCAAACCACCTGCTACAAGGAGTTTGGTGTAACAGTAAGAGGTAGGAATACTGGCAAACTCAAAAGTGTCTGATGCTAATTGGCAAACTTAAAATATTTTTTTGTTTTGTGACCACTTCTGGCAATATTATTCTCAGGGGTTACTCTTAGCTTTGCACTCAAGAATCACTCCTGGTGGTGCTCAGGGGACTGTATGGAATGCCAGGGATTGAACCCAGATTGGCCAGGGGCAAGGCAAGTGCCCTGTCATACTCTTTCCAGCCAAAGATAACTTTTTAAGAGGGCTGATGTGCCAAATACATCTGTGGGTCACCATTTTAAATTCTAATTCACGGTCATGGTCCTCCCGTTGTTCATCGATTTGCTCGAGCGGGCCCCGTAACGTCTCCATCGTGTGACTTAGTTGTTACTGTGTTTGACATATCGAATACGTCACGGGAATTGTCATGCGGGCAAAATACTCTCAGTAGCTTGCCGGGCTATCCGAAAGGGGCGGAGGAATCGAACTCGGGTCGGCCATGTTGGCTGCGTGCAAGGCAAACGCCCTACCCGCTGTGCTATCGCTCCAGCCTAAATTCTAATGTGTATATATATATATATATATATATATATATATATATATATATTAGTACAGGCTGGGTTCAGATTTGAAATTATTTCTGTGTTTTAAAAATCAGTTCATGCGTCTGTAAAATGAAAACTTGTTTCAAAGATTACATTTAAAAAAAAAAATCACGTAGGGGGCGAAGCAGTAGTATGGAGACAGAGACAGGGTGCTTTCCTTGCATGTGAAAGACCCAGGTTTGATCCCCAGTATCCTATATGGTCCCCGAATCCTGCTAGGAGTGATTCCTAATCACAGCACTAGAAGTAACCCCTAAGCACAACAGGTGTGGTCCCCAAAACAACAGTAAATTTAAAAATCACGTAAATAGCCTAGGCACTACCCTTAGAATATTAAGGCAAAAACACAGTCTCAAGACTGAAAAGCAGGTGTGGGGGACTTGGTTTTAGGCAGGGACTGAAATAGATGCCACTGTTTTCACTTAGAACTTCTCTTGGTTTGCTCTGTACCAATCTCTTGAACGGGCTTTACTATGAACAGCACTTCAAACCTCACATCCTCACAGCTCTGGGACAAGGAAATGGCTTCTTTCCATGACTCCAGTACAAAAAATTCTAGATAATGGTATTAGTCAGGCTTGGTTTGAATGTCCAGCCCTTAGAGACCTTAGTTCTCCAGATCAGCTAATCTGTTAGAAATGTAGGCATTTTAAACATCCAGACTATAGGGATGAGGGCCGAGCAATCTAAATTTTAAAATGCCCTCCATATGGATCTGATATACACCACTATAGTTTGAGAGCCACTGCCTCAGGAAAGTGTGGAGGGAAGGTGGTACAATCAGTAGTCTAGTTCGGGTCTATGCTCAGTTATCTGGGGCTGCCGTTTCTAAAAATAAATGATAGGCTACACTGCAGACAAAAGCACCACCTAACCATTACATGTCCTTTCTTTCAGAAGTTGGTAACTTCAAACAGCCATATTCCCAAGTGAAAGTGACAGGGGGAGAGGTGGGTGTAGTTTGTTGGTCTATATAGACAAGGCTCATCGAGGCATCTTACAGAGGGCTACCCAATCAGAAAGAGCTCTTTGCCTCTTTGATGTTCCCCCAAAGATCCTATTTTCCAACAAGCACCAAGCACTTCTTTGACAGTGGCTCTCTCTTATCAGAAATGCTCAGGACCTCTCCTCCCCTTCTCCACTTCTCCCCACAATGTTCAGTGCCTAACGGTCCTGCTCTGATGGACCTTATTCTGGTAAGAAAGACATACAGTAAAAATTAATCATGGAGTCATGTTCTCCAAACACTACCACTCCCTGTGGCGGGGGAGGGGGTCCACCGGAATGTGGTGGAGTATCCTTTGGGGGGTGAAGGAAATAGTAATTTTCCCCTCCCTGAAGAGGGTAGGCCAGACAAGTTTGGGAACTTCTGGAGTTAATAAACAAAGGATGTCTCTGGTCTAATTCAGAGGACGAGAAGTCAACCATGTGAATGATCTGGGGAAGGAAAAACAGGAAAGAAAGTTACAATTCAAAAGACATAGGCAGAACAGAGTTTAGCATTTAAAAAATCTATAAAGCTTGAGTACTATGAGAGGAAGAAAGCCAACTATTTCTGCCACTAAGGACTATAGATTTTATTCTTAGAACAACTGGAAACTATAAAAGTTCTAAGGAGGTGAATGACATCATTCTAAAAAACTATTTTTGCTATATTGTGTGAAGAATGGATTATATAGATTTAAACATGGAACTTAGTGCTAAGCCAAAGGTCTCCAGCACCATTTGCTTCTGCTTCGTGTGGACAGCTACTAAAAATACCTTTATTAGATGTGGGAATATCTAGTAAAGATATGCTAAGTGAAATATGCTAAGTGAAAATCAAGTTCTAAGAATCAGTAAGTTGCCATTTCATGCTTTTTGTTAACAGG